AAGAATCGTCACCTGGCGAAATTATTAAAATATAAATAGTTAAGAAATGAGCACATTAAAATAATATATTTTAAGCTCTCTCAGTTAACTGTGTCAGGCATAACCCCTCCCCCCACCTCTCCCCTCCCCCTCCCCAATGCTCCACCAATCATATCTCCCTCTCCGAAGGTTTGAAAAAGAATCACCTGGTGAAATTATTAAAATAGAAATAGTTCAGAAATGAGAACTTTAAAATAATTTTTGAAGCTCTCTCAGCAAACTGTGTCTGGCATAACCCCATCCCCCCTCCCCCCTCTCCGCCAATTCTATCTCCCTCTCCGTAGGATTGAAAAATCATCACCTTTCGAAATTATTAAAGTAGAAATAAAGAAATTAGAACAATAAAATCATATTTTAAGCTATCTCAGCTAACTGTGTCTGGTATAATCCCCCCCCCCCTTCTTTCCCTTTTTTTTCCCTCTCCACCAATCGTATTTCCCTTCCATAGGATTGAAAAATCATCACCTTTCGAATCGATTAAAATAGAAAAAGTTAGGAAATGAGAACTTTAAAAAAATATTTTAAGGTCTCTCAGCTAACTGTGTCTGAAATAACTTCCTCCACCCCCCCCCCCCCCCCTCTTTTCCATCAATCATATCTCGCACACTCCAAAGGATTGAAAAAGCATCACCTCGCGAAATTATTAAAATAGAAATAGTTAAGAAATGAGAACATTAAAATAATATTTTAAGCTCTCTCAGCTAACTGTGTCTGGCATAACCACCCTTCCCCTTTTTTTCCCTCCCCTGCTCCTACAATCATATCATCCTCTTCGAAGGATGGGAAAGTCACCATGTAAAGAAATATTTTAACTAAATTGAGCTAGGCATCCGTGTCCACCCAGACTTAAATAGGAAGCATTAACTTGTACTAAGAAGTAAATGGGGCCAGTGTAACAGCTAGCACATCATCCATCCAGTATCAGTACTACTGCAATCACTACCACCACCACCATCACAAGAACAACAACAAAAACTGTCACTACAATCTGTGTAGGTCGGTGTAGAAAAGAGGAGTTAGCGCCGCACGTTGTCGCCACGGACTATTTAGTTTAATGTTACCCCCGACAAAGAAAAAAAAAACTTAATCGCGTAACCAATGATGGAATCCACAGTAAAAAGTACACAATACTCACGAATAGCAGAGAAAAATACCCCGCACCCGTCATCTCTCCCTCTCCGAAGGAACGATTTTTAACTGACCTTGGCATCCGTGTCCACCCAAACTAAATTGGACTGTAAGCCGTCTTAGTTAACAGTTTCTGTCATCGCCGAATAGTTTTTGATCGAGAAGCGTCGCAGGGAGGCTAATCGGGACTTAACTGAAATCGGATGTCTTTGGGCGAAAGGCACAGATATCGCAAACCTAGCTGTAACCCACAACACAACGTGGCAACCACACTTTTAAGGGAAAAAGAATAATTATCACCCATCGGGGAATCAAACACCGGTCACCCGCGTGAAGGATGGAATACTTATAACTATACTACAGAAGACTGCAGAGTTTAGGTCAGATATCGCAACCTAGCTGTAAACCACAACACAACATGCCTCTCGAGGGCGAACGAAGATTACCCGTGACATGACCATTGAGCATCATGTCACAGCTGTCGCAGGCTAGCTGTAAACCCCAAAATCGAAAAAAGGCGTAGATATCGCAGCCCAGCCATAAACCACAACACAACGTGCCAGCCGCCCAGTTAAGGGCTAAAACAAAATTTATATCACCTAGCGGGGAATCGAACCAGGGTCACTCGCATAATAGGCAGACTACGCTACCAAATACTCAAACAGATTGTGGAAATGAAATTATATAGTAATGCAAAGTTCAATAAGAGCTCAGCAGTCAAAAATGGCCAATCAACTAAAAAGAAATCCGGACCAGCAGCGAAACAAATAATGATTAGACTGTTGCTGGAACAGTGGTTTGTGAAATTTTCTGACAAAAACCTACGCTTTGAGTCAAAGGCAACGTTGTGTGAAAATTTGAACGCAATCGGTTCAGTAGTTTCCACGTTTATAGTTAACAAACTCGGAAAATTACCATTTTTATTAATATAGATAATTAAAAATCGTTATGGCTTTCATAGAAATGAAAAGGGTTAGCGACGTTGGTGTAAAAAACAAAAACCTAGCTTATCACAGTGGAAACGAAGAACGAAATATTCACTAAAAATAAGAACTGTAAACTAAAAGTGTTTCCGATTTCGCCAAGCAGAACGAAATGACTTAATTTACCATCTGTACTATCTTAAAGAACAAGAATGCTCTACAGACGACTGTTGTGACTAAATGAGTGAGATGTTAACGAAGCAATAGTCTCAAATGTTAGTAAAGCTGGAGAAACAAATACTAAGTGTAAATGCTCAGTTTGGGTCTGTTGTGTCACTACTGCGATACTTTTTATCGCGAGAAAACCAAGAAGCTAACAGTGCTCTTTTCTTCAGTAACAAATAAATGATAACTTTAGAAATATTATTCAATAGTTGTTGACAACTAATTAAACATGCAAGTGAATCTGTGGATGTAAATGTATGGATTAGAAAGATGTGATATACCGCCTTTCCCTCAAGTGTAAGAAGCTCTTATTTTCCAAAATATTTAGGATCTAAAAACAGTTTGCTTCTTATAAAATAGTAGTAGACGATATGTAATTATATTTTTTTCTCTCTAAATTTCTCAAAATCAAGATGTGTCATATTTATGTAAATTGTACCCCACCAGGACATCACACAAGTGATAAATACCTGGTTCCACCATGCGGATGAGGATCACCCGTGAAGAGGTCCCGGAAACTACGTTCAGTCGCAGGATCACATTTCAGGCCCGGCTATATTTAGGGCCCCCGGCAAAAGCCAGGATAGGGTTTCAAATTAAATAAAAATTGCATCCCACAATGGGACGAGAACGTATGAAGATGTATCGTATACATAGGACCGTCTTATACTTGGGAAATACGTGATTAGAGTTACAAATCAGAAGTATGGCACTGTATATACTGCGCCCCGACAACCCGCGCGATTTGACAGTTTGCCGCGGGATTTGACATTGCGATTTTTTTTGCGGGGCGGAGGAGGGGGGTGTGGGGTAATTGGTAGGCCTTAGTGATTAACGAGGACATGTCACAGCACTCCAGACAGATCCATGGGTGCTCCGATCTCCTCTTCAGTATCTCTACAAGAGTAAAACAACTAATCACGTCCGTTCTGTGTGCCCTTGGTGAAATGTTCATGTCTGACTTCTCCAGGTTACATCCCCATGTCCACCACCCCTGGACTATGAGTCCTTGTTGGTGTGATCTTCTTCGCGAAATGCAGCTGGCATGGCTTTAGTGACATCACATCTGTCCGGTGCTGGGCCAGTTGTTCTAACCGCCTTGTTGGCCATATAATCTGCATGTTCATAGCTTTGAACACCAGCATTGCCCGACATACAGATACAGGGTAGGCAAGTTATTTGAAATGCATTTAATGAGAGAATCCATTATTATCTAATGAAGCCGGCTTGGGTTTTCTTCAGCATATTCATTGATTCGCTCACTTTGTACGCATGTGTAAATTCTTGAGTCCCAGCCATGTCAGAGCTCGTGCTGTAGCCACTGTCTCCATTGGTGTAACCAGAAAGGCACCACCAATTTCCTTAACAGTGCTTCCCTTGTGCTCACAATGAACACCCATACACCTTGCTGGCCACGGATGAATGGTCCATTCGTGTAAGCCACAGCATGACAGTGATACAAGTGGGGGGGGGGGGTTACTCAAAGAGATAAAGACAAGTGGTCTGAAGTGTGTAACCAAGACGAGAGGCAGAGAGGGCTGGAGATCCATTACAGTCAACATCCACTAGGGAGACCTGCATGTCTGATTGATTGATTGATTAGTTGGTTAACTGATTAACTAAATGGTTGATTGTTTGACTGAATGTTTGATTTATTGATTCATTGACTGTCTGACTGATAAATAAATTAACTATGAGTGGCTGATTTTCTTGCACTGAAACCTCTAGGGGAATAGTAATAAAGGAAGAAGGGGGGGGGGGGGGGGGGGGGGGGGGGGGGGGGGGGAAGCACACGAAGGGGGGGGGGAAGCACACGCAAGAATGGAGCTGCAGAATGAAGTTAGAAAGATGGGGAGAGCTGTATGTGATAGCAAAAGATAGAACGACTTGGTGTGAGTTGGTTGAGGGCCTATGCTTCAGTGGGCGCTAGAAAGACAGATGAAAAAGAAGAAGAAGAAAAATAAGAAAAAAAGGAAGAAGAAGAAAAGAAGAAGAAGAAAAGAAGAAGAAGAATAAGAAGAAAAAGAAGAAGAAGAAGAAGAAGAAGAAGAAGAAGAAGAAGAAGAAGAAGAAGAAGAAGAAGAAGAAGAAGAAGAAGAAGAAGAAGAAGAAGAAGAATAAGAAGAAAAAGAAGAAGAAGAAGAAGAAAAAGAAGAAGAAGAAGAAGAAGAAGAAGAAGAAGAAGAAGAAGAAGAATGAGTGAACAAACGAATGAATAAAAAAACTTTATTTTCAAAAGGTTACAAGTTGGGCACGTAGGCCAGTCTTACATTCAGCCCTTCCAAGCACTCATTTTTCAACCATAATTACATGTTATCAATATTGCATGTTATGTTTATATAAAAATATACATAATGAAATGGTGTCTATACACATCATGTACACAATCATACACACTCCAAATATACACATATACATACACTTATATATACCTATGCGTACAAAGACAAAAGCACACCCAAACATATACATACATAAACACACTCTCATACATACACCCTCATACAAATACAAACAAGCACTCCTGCTCATACAGACACAGATACAAGAATTGGAAGCATGAATGGAATACTAGCACCCACATACAATGTAAAACACTTCCCAACAGCATAAGTTCTATACACACCAACCACTTCTTGACAGGACTCAGCATAAATTACACACATCTCCTGCACAGAAAGCTGGTTACCGGCTACAATATGTCAAATGAATTTCCAGTTCTTGTGAATTCAAGTACATTTGATCACATCGAGGGCATAAAGCTGAAGTAGTGCTGCCATTAGTTTTGATGTGCCTTGGCTCAGCACCAGTTCTCTGAGAGAGCTTGTCTCTGTGATTTGTACCTGATACTTGTCGGCCTGGTGGAAACAACAGAAGAGACATAAATGTTCAGAAAATTTACATTCTCTACTTTTGTCAATATATGCTTTGTGCCACTTGGCGTCACAGTTTAATGGATGACAAGTAGTCGAACTAAGGCTGTGCTCATTTGCTTGGTCTGCTTTGATGGGAGTTACAAGAACAGATATCTTCTTCTTCATCTTCTCTTCCACCTTGTACCTCATCGAAGTGTTGGGGGGAGATGTAATGTTCGTTGATAAGCTCTGTCAAGAGCACTTATAAGACTGATGTTAATTTCTGTAAGGCTGTTCTTAATGCCATCATTCCATGTTTTCCGAGGTCTTCCTCTTGCTCTATACCCGTTGTAACGTTTTAGTGTAAAACAGATATCACAGCACTCAAAACCTTTCCACAAATGCTCTGACCCCCATCTTCAGCAGACAGTCTGATTTGTATGTCCATTTTGCCTTTTCTCTGAGTGTGGAGTGTGGCCAAATCCCCTTGCCACTTTCAACTTCACCATTCTCTTCTGTCTTCTGACCGTTGTCATCAACGAGGAGTGCTCTCCCTTCAGACAGTTATGATCAACGAGGGAGAGGGACTTTAAATCAAAACCTTAAAAGTGTTACAGAAATTACAATTAGTGTGTCATTGTCTTGTAAGCTGTTTACTTTTTCTTTTAATAAGGATGTCTAGAATGTTAAGCACAAGACATCACAGTGAATATGACCGCGTTTCAAGAATGCAACCCCACTTTTGACATGCACCACAGAGAAGCAGCATCATATGAAACCTATATAAACTCATAACTGAATGAAGGTCCAGCAGGGCTATGCTGGCCTGTCAGATCAGCAAGTGTATAAGTGCAGTTGGATGCTTCAATATGTCAGGACTTCTGCGACAGATTATTTATGACCAGCTCAGGCAAACCAAGTAGTGACCCCAGAGTCAACTCCAGCCACAACCCTCTGCATGCAGCACAGCTGTCTCCACCTTTCATAACCTGTGAAGTCTTAGGTTGTCAGTGATTCCTTCAGTCCATCTTCTTCTAGAAATCCCTCTCCTTCTTGGAGTTTCAATTTTCCTTCTGTACTCTCTCACTGTCGGCATCTTTGGTAATTCATTTGGCCATTCAACAGGTGGTCGAACCATTTCAGTCATTATTTCTTGATGATTTTAACAAAGGTATTTGTTCGTTCATTGTTTTGCAGAGGGAAAAAATCGCCAGGTTCAACCAGCATCCCTGAAGGGGGAGCTTTAGGTTACAATTGTGACTAGGTTATGTGTGCCTAATAAAATATCTTAGCAATGCATGCCATATAAAAGCCCTGAAAAGCACTCCTGCAGTGTTGATGTGATCAAAGTAAACAGATCCATATACTGTTCTGACCAGTGACGAAGTCGTCTACCGGATAGCCAATGGGCGACCTGGTCACAGATGATGAAAAGATATTGTTCTTAAAGTTCTTCTGGTCTCGTTCCTTACATGATATCGTCCTCCAAGAATGTCTCCAGACTAGTACTCTTACAAGCGGCGTCCGTGGCTAAGGCGTTGCGAGTCCGACTCGTAAGCCAGCATAGCGCGATCGAAACCCACTGCAGGCTGCGTGGATTTTTGTCATGGTATGGGACGTCGCAGGCAACCCAGCCTAAAATGGGTACCAGGATGGGCTGTCCTGGGAAAGTAAAGACAGCCGGTGTAATGCTGACCACATTACCCACAGAGTGCTGATGGTCTGTAAAAATATGGGACGCTCTGCCCATATGCCCGATGCGCCGAAAGGCGTGAAAAGGGAACTTTATTTTTTTTTTTTTACTAGTACTCTTACAGCCTTTTATCTGTATTTTCCTACCCCCCCCCCCCCCCCCCCCCAGGATTCGTAACATGTGCAAAATACACACAGGGGTTCCTGGTCTTTATAATGATCTGAGGTATTATGGTTAGGAGCTGAAACACATGTCATCAGGTAAAAAGAACAAAGACAACATGTCAAACATGAAGAAAGGTACAAGAAAGACAGACATCTAAGAAATGGTAACGTAGTCAACAAGCATCACAAACAGCTCAAGAACCAAATGCTTGGGGGATAATAATGATGATGATGATGAGAAAATAAACAAGTATAAATTATCTCTACCTTTGGTGTTATTATCTTTTCCCAAGCCTTGCCCAAAAGCTTTTCTCATCTGGACGTAGGCACCAATAGGCGTGGCATTCACAGGGGCCATAACTGTGCTCATTTTTGCTGAGGATGGTCTCCCCCGTTTTGAGGATCTATCTTCATTTTGTACAAGTTTCTGGGGTGTGTTCCCACGACTGATGAGGAACTCCTGATGCTGTGCGGACCCAGGAAAAGCCTTCTGGGAATCATCCTCTGTCTTTGTATGTGTCCAGGCGTACTGTTTGGGTTTACCGTGGGACAGGTGATCTGATTTCTCTGCGACTGAATGGTTATCACAGCTAAAAAAAAAATAATTTTACAGATCATGTCAATCAAAGAAGGCCCCACCCACACTGGACAGCTAGCTGCATCATAACTGTAAAAACAATAGTTAGTTGCGTATCTTTCACAGGATGTTGCAGAACCAACCCCTATTTTTTTTTTTTTGCTGTTGTGGTTTTTCTTAGGCAAATTTTACATTTAGTAGTTTGCCACTGCTGTCTAAATAGTCAGTTCTCAGTACCACTGTCCAAATAATCGTAAGAAAAACCATCTATAGTTAGGATCAGACGCTGACTGTTAACTGCAGAGTGTGTTATTTTAACTGTTTTATATGACTGAACGGGCTGTAGAATTTAATACTGTTCAATTTGTATCCAAAAAGTGGTTCTTTGAGTCACTGGCCATCAAACTTTCTTTCAACAAACCCGACAGGAAATTTTTTTGTTTAAAACAAAATATTTTTATGTACTGCCATTTACTGAGTAAAAAAAAACAAAAGGTGTTCCACAACACGCAATTAGCATTCTCTACTTGGTCAGGACGGGAGCTGCTGTAGCCAAGACACTAGCCTGCCATTCTGAAGCATTTACTGTGTATATATTTCTGGATTGTTCCAAGACTAGTTGTTTGTTCACCAGTTTTTCAAATGAAACAGTGAGGGACATTTCATTTGATTCGCACTGGCACAGGAACGGAGCAAGTATGGGGAAAACCCGAATGCCGTGAAGTTGAAACCTCGACTAAGACTAGTTTCGCCGCCCAGCTTCTGAGTTTAGTGCATGGAATGACACTGTGAGCTACGTGTGTTTTCGTTGGCACAGGAGCGGAGCAACTATGGGGTGACCCGTCTGCTATGAAGCTGAAACTAAGATTACCAGATCGACTAAGACCAAGACTGAAGGTGTAGGATTCAGAAGCTTTTTTTTTTTTATGGCTCCCAGGTTGACCCAGTCTACACTAAGTACAAGGTAATGTACTAGGAAGTAAAGGCAGCCAACATGATGCTCACCACATCATCCATTAAGTAAAGATTAGTCGAATAAATAAAATAGGACTAGCAATATATCCCTAATGTGCATAAGGCTTGACAAGGGTCCTTTACTTTGGTTTGTTGTGTGTATGTGGTCAGGACCAAAGTGTCACCAAAGCAGTGTTTGGTGCTGTTATAATAGAAGCCCTAATGAAATCTTCTTACTTAGATGGCTGAGCAGGGTATCTGGGATTTATCCTGTTTGACTGGTATTCTTCTTCTCTTTCTTTTTTCTTCTTCTTTTTCTTCTTCTTCTTCATCTTTCTCTTCCTTTTCTTCTTCTTCTTCCTATTCTTCTTCTTCTTCCTCTTCTTCTTCCTTTTCTTCTTCTTTTTCTTCTTCTTCTTCTCCTTTTTCTTCTTCTAGTATCCCTTTCTTATACTTCCTCACCATCTTCTTCTTCTATTTTTTCTTTCTTAAACATCCTCATAACCTTTTATTTCTTCTATTATTTCTCTCTTATACTTCCTCATAATCTGTTTCTTCTTCTTCTTTCCAATATTTCCTCGTTAACTTCTTCTTTATCGTTCTTATACTTCATCATAGTCTTCTTCTTTCTCTTTCTTATACTTTTTCATGCAGAGTGGATACCTGTGCCTCATGCGTTTTTTGTACATTTTCCTGTATTGTCACACTCAACAGGCGATGAAGAGAAGATCTTGAATCATTACAGAAGTCCACTGTGCGTGAAGTCACCTTCTTTTTTTTTTTTGTTCCAGGAGACGCAGGCGTCAATGGAAATGAGAGAGCTGATAGGTTGACTGAATCCGCTATCACTACCGACGGTCAGCATATGGATCATGCTGATATTATTAATGCCCTCAGAGAAATGGGAAGGATAGAGGACTTTGGGGGCAGTGAATCCACATCACTCGCCAGAATGGCAGACTTGGGAATTAAGATTGGCATAGCAAAAAACAAGACGCACACCGGACACGCCAGAAGACTTGTTAATCAACATAGAACTGGTACTATTAGCAATCGGACGTTGGGGTTCATACTGAGGGGAGGATCTGAGCACATATGGACATGTCTGGAGTGCAATGATGATAACCCAACTAACTAACTAACTAACTAACTAACTAACTAACTAACTAACTAACTAACTAACTAACTAACTAACTAACATACTTTTTCATATTCTTCTTCTTTCTCTTTCTTATACTTTCGCATAATCTTTTTTTTTCTTCTATTATTTCTCTCTTATACTCCCTCATAATCTACTTCTTATTCTTTCTCTTTCTAATACTTCCTGATAATCTTCTTTTTTCTCTTTTTTACACTTCTTCTTCTTCTTTTTCTTCTATTATCTCCTTCTTATACTTCCTCATTATCTTCTTCTTCTTTTGTTATCCTTTATTTACTTCCTCATTATCTTCTTCTTCTTTTGTTATCTTTTATTTACTTCCTCATTATCTTCATCTTCTTCTGCCCTTCCTCCTTATTCTTTTTTCTCTTGTTGCTTCGTCACTTTCTTCTTTTTTTCTTCATACCTGCATTTCATTCCTTAATAAAGCGTTCTCCATCAATTACTCCATCAAATTCTTCGCAGAAATGTTTATAACGGTTGCATTTTTTAGCTGAAGATTTTTACAGGATAAGGTAATCAACTTCAAGTCAATCCTCCTAAGCCATCCCTTATGACATGCATGATAGGTTACAGTGTTACCATTTATTTGTTACATCCAGGTCAAATATGGACAACAGGCTAAAAATGCAATAAACAAAGAGACAGGTGGACAATAAATTACTTACATATAGTCAAGTAATCCCCCCTGACTGACATCTTGAAAGTTCGAGTTATTATTCCTTTGGCTGTTCAATAAACTGGAATTATTCTGCCATAAGGGGACCAGTTTTACAGAGCTCTTCTGAAACAGAATTAGAAACTGCTACTGATGCCAATGCCGTGTGCTTGGTTTAGGCGTTGCAAGTCTGACTCGTAATTCAAATGTACTGCGAGCGAAACCCACTGCTGGCTGCGTGAATTTTTATTATGGTATCGGGCATCACAGGTCGACCCAGCCTTAAAATGGGTATCAGGATGTATGTGCTGGGGAAGTAAAGATGACCAGCGCAATGCTGACCATATTACCTACCTAGTGCAGATTGGACTGTAAAAATACGGGTTTTCTTTCCATAGCCTGATGTGCCTAAAGGTGTGAAAAGCGATCTTTACTGTTTTTGCTTTACTGATGCCAACTGTTGCTCTATTTTCACAATTACCTCCAGCTGGACACAGATAAGCTGAAAAAACATTTACTTACTAGAAGAGGTGGTTTGTGAAAATGCAAAGAAATTCATGGCTTGTTAGACAGACTCATGCATGAGGATGACCTCCTCAAGATAGATGAAAGCCAGAAATTGATGAGACAAATTAGAAGCAGACAGTTACTGTTTTCTGAACACGTTATGAGAAGGAAGAGACATTGAGAACTTGATAACAACTGGCATTCTTCTTCTCCTTCTTCTTTTGTTCACCTAAAATAAGTTGTCTATTTCAGCAATTTTGTCTCGTAGAAATATGATTGTTGTTTTCAGTTTTTTTCAATGGCCCATAGAGTTTGCATTCCCCTGTCTTTTCTGGCCAGGTTTGACTTAATGTGTCAAATGTGATAGGCATTGACTTATGGAAAAGCAGCAATGAGAAGGCAAAGAGATAGATAGCTCGGCCATATGGATGGGGTGAGACAAGAACACTGATCTGTGATTCTTTTGATCATATGAGATAGCAAAACATGATAGCCTACGCTCATCAGCGCGGCACATGATGAATCCATTTGAAAATATTGCTTACCATCATCAGTGAATTAGTTTCTTCTTCTTCTTTGTCTTCTGCATTCATCTAAAGATGTCAGTGCACTGTGTCCATTTACAGCATGGCTGCGATATTTGCACCTTATGGCCAATACATCCAACCTCTGCTGGCATTTGTTGACCGGGTTAACCTTCCCGGTTAGTTTCATGGAACATTACAGTCTCTTTGTTGTGTGGTGATCTTTGATTTCCCAGGTCACAGGTGATTCCCCACATCAGGCCGGTCCAGAGAAGCCACATAATGATAGTCAGCCCTCAAGAGAAGGCAGGGGCAGAATATGAGCATTCCCTGCCATCCAAGGAGGCTTCCACAAATGCAGAGCTAACACATGGAGCTCTGGTGGGCTCACCCAAGGAATCGTCATGTCCTGCTCATATCTGTTCACCCTCACTTTCATTTATTGAACATCGCATTTATCAATGGCTATGGATTGCTTTCAAAAAGTTGAATTCACCGAGGCAGTGAGGCCACTGACGTGCCAGATTTCTTTAAAGGCCAACTTTACTTCACCGAAACATACCTGCTACCTGTTGTGTGCAATCCGAAGATCGACACTACGGACAACCGATAATGAACATAGGGTATGACGAGAGACACGACGTCACTTGCCGACAGGATTTTATTCCAGACAGATGACGGCTGCAAGAAAGGTGTTGATGGCCGAGATTGGAAACCAGTCTTAGATGGATCCGTAGTTGATGCCGCTGTTTGCGGGGAGCTGAGGCTCATTGCTCCGGATTGGAGGAACCGTATAGAGGACAGTCACAAGAAATGTGTTGATGGCAGATGTTGGAAACCAGTCTTAGATGGATCCGTAGTTGATGCCGCCGTTTGCGGGGAACTGAGGCTCATTGCTCCGGATTGGAGGATCCGTCGTTTAATTTAGTGACTGTACAAAATACCTTTCATTGACACAATTTATATCTGCGAGGAATTGCTTAATAAAATTCTTGTATTTGCCTGCCAACGATGTGTTTCTGTGATGTAGCGGTTTTCAAGGGTTGACTTCGTTACGGCGTTTTTCTGCCAGTCGTTGGTTAGTTGACAGTTGTACCCCTAGAATAATCGTTTACTTGGTAGCCCGTACAGAAAGGAAAAAGAACCTGTACAGAATGGGAGGCCAAGCCGCTCCATCATCTTTAATTTTCCAGATCCTGTGGAATTAACGCTTCATACATACGGTCACGTCTGTCATTATTTGAGATGAAGTGACTATTACTGCTTATCCTTTCTGTGGACCATTATCATCATCATCGTATCTACGTGTCATCGTTGGATTTACAAGTCACTATTACTGAAAAACACTTGCGGTGGACCGTTATCATCGTCGTCGTATCTACCTGTCATCGTTGGATTTACAAGCCACTATTACTGGAAATGACACCTGATGAACTGGCGGTACAAGCTAGGGATATCTTGATAACAGCAGCTAAAGACTTAATACCCACCAGGACTAAGCAACATAAACCATGGATCACACCATACACGTTAGAACTAATAAAACAACGAAGAGAACTGAAAAAGAAAGGAGAAACCAATGATAGTAGGATGAAGTATAAATTTTTTACACGAGAAATAAGAAAGTACACAAGAAAGGATAAAAATCAGTATGTACAAGATTGCTGTATTAAAATAGAGCAGCATCACAAAAATGGAAGAGATTACGAAATGTTCAAGGAAATGAAGTTATTGACAAGAAATTTTCAACCTCAGTTAAAGACTATCAACATCACAAAATGGTTTAGAAAACTTATTAACCTCACTCCAAAGAAATAGTGAAAATCATAACTTATTTCTTAACACAGCAAAAACAAAGATAATGCATACAAACAAAACTGCCATGGAGAAGGAAATATATGTTAATGAGGAAAGATTGGAAGTGGTGGAAAATTTCGAATATCTTGGGTCACTGGTTACCAACAATGGTGACACAATGAAAGAAATTAAACGGCGACTATCAATTGCTCTTCAAAGACTAAAACAACTGAATAAATTATGGAATTGTACAGATAGAATTACAAAGGTCAGATTTTTAAGAGCATGCATCTTTCCCATTGCAACATACGCCTGTGAGACCTGGACACTTACTAAACAAGCGGAACAGCGCATAAATGCATTTGAATATAAATGTTACAGACAGGTTCTAAGAATATCTTGGGTAAAGAAAAAGAACAAATGCATCCATACTTCAAGAGCTGAATATTGAAGAGGGTTGGCTAGTAAAGACAATAAAACAAAGAAAATTGAAATATTTTGGTCACTTGAAACGTCATGGAGGTCTAGAGAGAACAATAATGGAGGGGTATATGCCTGGGAAGAGAGGAAGAGGAAGGCCAAGGAGAAGATGGGTGCAGGATGTGGCAGATGATCTCCAGATGGGTGTATCAGACGCAGGACATCTTGCTCATGATAGGAAGGTTTTCCGGAGGGTTGTTATGGCAGCGAGGTTCCGCGAGGGACATGCTACTGAATGAATGAATGAATTACTGGAAAACACTTGCGTGGACCGTTATCATCGCATCGTCACTGCATTCACGTGCCGACGGATTCAAACCACTCGACGTTGGATCTCATTCGCAGCGGCTCGTCACTGGAGTTAGTGTACATCAGCTCATCACTGGAGTCTTTGCACACCTACCACATTGTTGGAAACACATCGGGTAATGTTTTTTGTTGCTGGTCCGTGTGTAATTGCTGCGTTTGCTCTCATTATAGTGGCCGAGGTGTCAGTGTCACTGATTGTTTTTGTGCTGTGTATTTGGTAAATAATTCGTATCTTTTTATTCGCGGGAGGTTGGAGCGGTGCGCATTCAGAGTATTATCCTAAAACATCGAGGATGGTGTGTATGTTGAGTGCTGAATTCAGCATCGGATGTCGTAAAAGTGGCCTGGAGTTAGTGGGGTACTTTAATAGTATAAGACTTTTGCGATCTCTCTTGCTTTACTGTCTGCGTCTGGTTAGTGACGGTTCTTGACGTCATTCTTCGTGTTATCGTTCGTAATTTCTAAGTGTAATTTCTTTTTGACAGGCAATTTGTATCGTCATTAGTTTTCTAATTCGTCAATTCCACGGCGTCGCTTTGTACGTTCGTTGGATTGATTGGTGTGTTGTATCATTACGTTATATTACATATTGTTGTGTTCTGTAAAGCATATAGTCCACAAATATATACGTGATTTATAATTCACATAAGAAAATGACATCTTTTGTGGAGTTCGTAGAGCTGGGTCGTTCCCTGGGTTTGGACTCTGATAATCTTATCGCCTTCGCCGAGGCTAGAACTAGGGAGGCTCAAGAAAAAGAAATTGCGCTTCGTGAAGAAAGAGCATTGGACAGGGCGCAGAGAAAACTGGAGGCAGAATTGCAAATTCAGATACTTAAGGCAGAGAAGGAAAAGGCGGAAGCAGTGGCACAGAAACTCGAGAGGGAATCACATCTGCAGATTGCTCTAGAGAAAGAGAAGACAGAACTACAACTTAAGCTAGCTGAGGCAGAAAGGCAAACATTTAAAGAAGAAGAGTTAAAAATTAGGCTTGAAAAAGAGAAGATTGAGACTCAACGATTGCTTCAGGAGAGTGAACTAGCTCTAAGAAGAGAACAACTTCTGCAGAGCATGCAGGACAATGATAAATTACAACAGCTTAAGGAGAAGGAGCTGGAGTTGTCCTACAAACAACACCAACTAAAATTCAACACTGAGCTGGAAATTGCAAAGGTTGAGAGAGATAAGTCTATCGCACTCAAAGAAGCAGAAGGCAGGATGGGTGTGGAATCAAATTCAAATCTCAGACATGACCGAAGTGGTGGCTTATACAAGCCAAGGTTGCCTTTTCTAACTTGTAACGACTCTTTACATGATTTTCTTCAACGTTTTCAGGAGACTATGACGGGGGAGAGATACCGGAGGCGCAGTGGGTATCTCGTCTCAGGGACTTGCTAACAGGATCGGTGTTGACCACTTTTACCAACCTGTCGCCGGAGGACAGAACGTCGTTTCCGATAGTGCGTCAAAAGTTGCTAGAATCGCAGAATTTAACTGCAGAGGGGTA